AATCACATGTTTTATATCTTAGCCCCCTGTGTATATTTTCTCCTCATGGTGCAAACAATATAATGATGTAATGTTTAGGTGAAAATTGCTAATTTGACCTGTTTTGCTCGGAGTGTTTTGTCCGAAGTCATTTTGTTTTGTCCTACAATCTCTTCCTATATGCGTATGTGGGATGAAATCATTGCACTGTCAGATTGTGGCACTTACCATGTGAAAAGTCCCAGCCTATTTTTTCTCATGATTGTTGAATTTCTCTGTTGAGATGCTCTTCAATTTTAAGCGCTTCAAAAATATATTTCACGCGATAGGATTGATTTGTTGCGGAAATTATTCAACGAGAACCTAGTATTATCTCACACCCGGTTTTCTACACATTTTCTTATTGCCTTACTTGAATATATGTTCAGAATATCCTAATTGCAATGCATTTTTCATTCTGTCTCTCATTTTTTTAAAAACTGTTTCATTAAAACAATATAATTTAAATATTGTTATCATCGCAATGTATATCTGTAACAACATGCACCAAATCCATTTGTGGAAGATTTGGTACAACTGTGGGTACTAATCATGTGTGGTATCAGTGGATAGGTATTTGTTTTTTTCAGAAATCAGTAGCTTGATCAAAAATTGGAGGGAAGAAATTCACCTGGTAATGTGAATCGTAATTTTAGCGGTAATGCCAACACAAGTTTTGATATTTATGTTGATAACTTATAGAAATAAACCAGTACACATTTTAGAATAATTGTTTGTTTTTTCATTTGAAGTTCAGACCACTTACATATTTTGATTTATTTTAATGAGTTGTCTATATGTCGCAGGGCGCATGGATTAAAAGTACATTTATTAAGGTACACGTGTACAGTCAACAAACGGTGACTCGGCACCAATCGAATTCAATGAAGCTACATACATATCGCCCAGTTAATTATTGTAATAGTATTATCTATAAATAAAATCATTCCGCGAACTTTTCATGAATATTCAGTTAGAAATCTTCTGAATCACGTGACTTACTATTATCAGTTAAAGGTTGCAATTGCAAATAATAATTATCTAAATTAAAATTTAAATATCCTAAAATTTAAAAAAAGCACCTGCAGGTGATTGCCATTTTGTCATTGATTTTAATTAGTGTTGAAGTATTAGAGATTCAGGCGGTCCTGGAAGACGTAACCTTAAATTCTTTTTGAAAGTTCGCTACAAAAACTGATAAGATGTGTTTTAGACTGCGTCCTTCCAAGGACACGTGAATGACAGACACTTCAACATTGAGTATTATGAGACAAGGAAAATGACTACTATATTCGTCTCAAATGAATCTGTGATATCTCTGTGTATTCCTTTTGGTTGAACTCGATATCTCCACAGTGTAAGTGTTACTTGTTAAGTGAGTTGAAGTTCGCTCACTCTATGTTCTTTTCGTAACACATACGTACTCTGTAAGATGCTTTCGTAACAATGCTACATGTGGAAAACTCTGGAATTACGCGTGAACAACAATGTTGGTTAATACCCCTGCACTACACCAGTACGTACTAAAGGTATTTTACAAAGTGGGTAGTACCAAATAAATTATTACATGGTCCGTGTGCAAATTGAACTGCCTCCAGTAAATACTGCCGCTGAATACACGTAGCACTTATGAGCATACAGTGACCCGTGGACGCATGCTGGTTATATGTTTGTTACATTATCCAGTACTGTGACTACATGAAGATGATATGAAACTATTTATTCATTATTCCTTTGCGAAAAATCTTACGTGTATCCCAAGCCATCTATATTCAAGACGAATTTAGAGGTGACTGTATGAGTGAAGCGGGGAACATAAAATTAAAAGTATTGTAAGTAATGATTTTTATAAATCATAGTTTCTCCATGTGAACATCGGTGCGGCAAGTTCATCTTCAATTTGTTCCCGATTACGGCTGTCCGGCAATCTCAAAGTGTTTGAGTCCTGAAACAATAACGTAACAATATTAATTAAGTAAAACTCGGTAATTGTATCTTCCTGTCTATGTTAAATTTGTACATGAATGAGAATATAAAACACCAGGTGAACTGAGTAATCGACTTGGTAAAGTTTTTCAGTATTTGCCAGTACCAGTGTATTTGAATCGGCTTCGTTTTTGGATGTTCCACTCCTGTGATGCTGCTGTTGGATTGTAACATTTTAAGGTAGAAGCCTACTCATAATTTTTGACAAATTGGTGATAAATCACATGACAATGTTTATTAGTTTATTATGTACAATCATGAAACTAATGTCCCATGGTACAATGAAATAGCATTATTTTGTGTGTTACAGTTAAGCTTTTTGAGAAACGTGTTCTAATACTTCTTGAAAATCGCTATTTTTAGAACAATTCCATAGAACACAATTTTAAAGAAAATTGCATTTTTGGACACTTTTTAAAACCCAGATTTTTAAAATAATTCAGAACAACAAAAAGTGCTTCTTCATTAACAGTATAGCCTATGTCACAAGGCTAGATTTTGAGATAATGCATAATATCTCTGCCATAGGAACCTATGGTAAAAGCATTATGATTGTGCCAGAATTGCGACTTTCCACTAAAATAAAACCATCAATATCTCGAAAATAAGGCTGGTGACCCCCAACTTTTTTTAAGTCAACATCCCTATATTGCCTTGGAGTACAGTTTGTTGCAAAATGAATACATTCTGGTTTTTTTAATTTATGAGTAGGCTTATACCTTGTTATAAGTTGTTCTTTATCAAATTATGATACCTGATTCACCGATTTTATGTTCAAAACTAATTTGGTTTTCAAATGTTGACATTGTCTTTCGTATAAGAACATTAAATATAGTATGGTGACCTTTAGGTCACTTTAAATATTCACCTCAGTACCCCCAATATATAAATCTAAATTTCCCCAGTGTGACAATCCTTTTACATACCAGCAATAGCGGACTGGAATGCAGCGTTGTAGTCACACGCAACCTCGTTCGCTCTGTAATCGGCTCTGTCATCTTCCCAATAATCATTAATATCAGGTCCGCCAACAATACCGCCGTACAATGTTTGATGATTCGGACCATCGTAACCGAAATCTGACCAGTTACATTCGATTGGATAGTCTTCACAAGAACTAAAAAAAAATAATGAAAGAAAAATATTAAAGGAAATGTCAAGGCAAACAACATTATTCTCCCAGATAAAAATGCTCCACAAATGCAGAAGTGTACAATTTACTTGTTTTTATAACACTTTTCATTCTCCGGATATTCAAATTTCCATCAGTATTATGTAGTCCGCCATCTTGATTCTTCATTTACAAACTCAATTTCTCACAGCGAGCGGATATGATGTCAATATTTTACCCATAATCTTTTGTTGAAGAATCAAAATGGTGGACTACATAAACTTTATGCATAAGCATTATGTTGTGAGTCTTTACTCTTCCTTTAAGATGTGATCTGTCATTCTTGTATGGCATAGACAAATTCACGCTCGTGTTATCACTGTTTACCACACAGAATTGTTAGGGTGTCTTTTAGGACAATGAATGTGTGTCTAGGCTGTTATAGTAATATACTGTTAAAAGGAGTTTATCAAGAATAAAAAAGAAATAAACAAAGTATTCTGTCATCCCAAGTAAGTAAATAAATGAAAAGATAGTTTGACTGAAGGGCTACAATATGCACGATGTTGAAATTGGGTAAAAATCACAATATAAGTCTCTTATTGAAGGTAAGATATAGTTCAGTTATGTAGAAACTGAAATGAGGTCTCAGTCAAGGCTGTATTTCGACGCTAATAAGAATGAAGAAAGACAAGGGTTTATTTTCTGCTGTTAGGAAATCGAATTTCAACCATGACAAAATATCAATATATAATTCACTTTGATAGCTTTGAAATGAAGCAGTTCATATTCACAGATATTTTGAACAAGGATAATAATGTATATTGCTACCATATAAAAGTTTAAACTAATTAACAATAACATTGACAAATTTGTAAAAATATTTCTAGCCAGTGGAATGGAAGTCAGAATATAATTTTAAATAATGCTTTGTAAAATCACCCAATCTTGCCTTGATCGATGGTGGGCTCGCCGTGGGGGGTCAACGCCATATCCAACGACGTAGCTGTGTCCATAGTCTCCCAAAATATAATGAATCTGCGATTTGCCGAAATCAAAGTATTTTTGAGTCCAATTTCCCAAGTCTGCTGCCACCAACGCCACGAAAGCAGTGTTTGCTGCAACAGAACACAATGATTCACTTACCAATGGATAATAACGCTGCGATAAAGACTTTCCGTTTCCGACATTGTGAATTTTTTTTTCAAAAACTGATTTTGACAAGATAATTCAGAAATGTATATTAAAAAATAATTCATAACGAAATGTATTCCCTATGCACCCATAAATAATTTTCATAATACCGATTATACAAAAAGATAATTTGCTATATTCTATATATGTTCTATATTCTCTTTTGTTTGTCTTGAATTATGACTGAAAGAAGTTGAATGAAATTACAAACTATGTATTGTGTTCAACAACTCATGTAAGAACAATAACTTAAATAGGCATAAAAACGACAGAATTTCAGAATGTAGAACACGGAGAGTCTTTATCGCAATGTTTAATAATTAATGCATTCTTGCTTACAAAGGTGTATTAGACAAATATTCTAGCGACAAAGCACTGTGTCATAAATGGATGAAATAAACGCCATTTTATTTTCTGATACGTAGCTGTCCATCAAAAAATATTTAATATATTCTAGATTACGAACGACTACACAATGAAAAACACTGTTGTTGACGGGTGTTAACTAGGGACGACATTTCATACATTCAACAATGTTATTTTTACGTCAAAAAAAAGCATTTTGTCGCCATAGCGCACTGTTTTAACACAACGACACACAATGCTTTCTCGTTTGTATCGGCAAACCGTATAGATAATCACATTCTGCACGAAAGTTAAAAGAAAATAGAAAAAAGTTTATATTCTATTATATTATATTTTTTTATATTTTTACCAGCATATCGGAGTGATCCCCATTCGTCTCGGTAAGCAAGACCCCCAGGTGTATATGGTAAACCCCCACCTGGTAACCAAACGTCTAGGTAATTAACAAGGTCATTGGCGTACTCGTCGTCTTGGGTAAGCTGATACATTAACGCCTGTAATACCAAAAATGCATTTATACATGTCAACAACATATGATGGATACATTTAATTCTCATTCTCAACAGCATCTATCACATAATATCGGCGATGTTACGACGAACACATAATAGTTGAAGAGCGGTGTCGTCACTCCTCGCATGTGCGATATTTGTATTGATAAACATTTATTTGCCCACAATCCAATGCGTCCTTCTAATAGAAATCTGGAGTGCAAGTTCCTTGGCGCGACGTGCACAAATTACTGATGGTTAATCTTTTTATTCCAAACACCAAAGGAA